CCTTATCGGTTCTTTGCCGTTCTGAACATGCATAATTTCAACAGCATTGCTTCGGTATAATAAAATTCTAGACCAGCTTTGACATTAATAATGTGTCTTATCAACAGTCAGGCTTGCTAGATACACTATTGGCTTTCGATGGTGTGCCAACAGCCACCCGTTCATAAAAAGATGTTGGGCTCACGTTGGCTCTTGAGCATGATGTAAATGGAAGTAAGTTAACAGTTTTGAACGTGTGTAGTTTATAGCAATATTAAGTTGCTACATTTACCTACCCCATATGGTGGGAGCAATGGTAAAGTGGTTAGCGCACTGAACCTTGGTACCTCCGTTCAATTTGCATATGCCCAGGTAACACCCTAAGTTTGGTTACACTTTAACAGGTCATTTACAACTTAAGTAATTTCCAAACTGCATCAAATGTGTAAACGCTACCATATGTATATTATCTGAGTTTACAATACGTTTTCACTTATTCACAGTGTTTTGTGAGACTTCCATCAAAGTTACTTTATAAATGCAATGTTGTAACACTGAAATGTCTTTTAGCATTCAATGTAATATAAAATTAACCCGAAATAAAATGTCCACTTAAAGTAACAAAAGTCCACACGAATGTCATGCAAGTCACAAAAATCAAATTAACCCTAGCGAGGTCCTGCACGGTGCACCGCTCCTCCAGGAGCCGACAGTCCTTGGGCCAAACCAGATATCGGTACCACCCAAGGTGGCAAAACTTCAATGGTGCGATTTTATTTGTTAGACCAACAGAAGTAAAATAATACGTGATAACCTTTCCAAATGAGCAGCTGTTGAATTTTTCTCGCAGGAAATCTTGTTTTTGCACCTATCGCAATCACGCCTATTTTCCCGAACGTTACAAATGAAACATTCCAACACCTCTGCTGTTAAGACAAATAATTTACAAAATGGATGTTTGTCCCCAAGACGTGTATTTCATACATATTCTTGCATTTATTCACGCTTGTTCTTCAATTTCGGTGACTTAGTTAAGTCCGGAATAGATTGGCGCTATCTATTTCCCTTCTGTTTCTAGCAGCTTGTTTGCTCATGATCATTTACTGGCAGGTGAGGCAAGTACTGGTGGTTCTGTATTATTTCTGTTCAGTAAAGATATCTGAAGTGCAAACTTTACCCTAAATGTATTGTTAATGTACCTGTTAAGATTATTAGCTAAGGCCAGGTACTACAGGCAAAGATAATGATTTTGTTCAGTTTGTCAATTTTATATATTTTTCTTCTATAAATTGAAAATTTTCATAACATAACTTTGTTATTGGTAATAATTGATGATTAAAATCATAAAACGAACTTATTTATATTTGATAACTTTCTATTTTATAAATACGTTTTTACGATTTTATACAAACTTCGCCAAGTAAATAAAAGCTTACATTAGTGTTTTTTAGCATCTTTCATCGCAATTTGTCTCCGCATTTTAAGAAATAACGTAGTTGAATTGCATATAATTGAAAAGCTTATTCTCTGGAGCAGATGTCTAGCTTAGTTATATATGGCTATTTACTTTGCTCTCAAATCTCATTTCTACTAGCATCAGAATGCCACAACTGGCATTGCGATTTTCTCAAAATCACATTTTGAATGTTTCATAATAGGTAAAGCCACACAAAGCCACACAATTTTACATACTGCTTCCTACTTGTAATAGCTAGAAATGTTCAGAGGGATTTCTTGATATATTTTGTCATTTTTATTTTATGTGGTATTATATCTAAAATAGGTGAAAATATTGTTTTTTTAACATGTATCAAGTGTATTTTAACATAATTAACTGAAAGAATAATATTTTGACAAAAGCCTCTGTAGATTACCAACCAATTAGTTATTGATCACATTAAAACAAAACCAAAAAGTGATGTTTTCATCTACTTAGTCAATATTGTGTTTTACATAATATGCAAATTTTGTGCATATTTAATGTGATAACACATCATATGCATAAATGAATGGGGGGAAGTCACAGTACAAAAACTTATATTTTTGTGTATATTCATCTGGTAATTTTTCATTCTGATAAAAGGACAGGAATTTGTTTTGCCTATTCACCTGTAGTACCTCCCCTTAATTTTACCCTTCATCAATGTTAGTTTTGGTTTCGGGTTGTAACTCTCTGCTGCCGTCAATGTGTAACCAAAGTACCAACAGATTAATTCAGATTTTGCATCAAAGTAATGATGATTTCTGATTGTACTGTATTGTGTAGGTGAAAACTGACCGGGATATGAGTGACTGAATATACTACTATGCCCAGATGTCTCTGCTACCCATCACACACCCAATGTGTACACGGAATTCATGGAAGGAGGCTTATCAGTACAACTGGGCTCCATCAATCCCTTTGGCCGAATCCCTGTTGACCAAGCTATAGAAGAAATGGTGAACAAAGATACCCAGACAGCTGGAGGGACAAAGGGATTCAGCTTGAAGCCAGGAGCCATAACCAAATATTACCTAACAGCTGAGTACAGAAGCATGTACCTCAGACAGCTGAGATACCTGATAGGTCAAGGCAAGTTCAAACTGTCCCATCCAGATCTACAAGGTCCAAGGATCAATAGAGATGAAGCCGATGCCCAGTCCTTCATTGACCTTATGGAGAATAACTGGATAAATCCTATGTCCCCTGATGAGACAGATCAGGTTAGTTCCACTGGCACCATGGCTCCACCTGATCTGACCAGGGATCTCTTGAGATAGGAGAAGAGATGCCTACCAGGTATTCAAGCAAACAAGATGAGCTGAGGACCCACCATCTGTAAAATTCCACAAGATGACCAAGCAAAGTCTGGAGACATTCTCCAACATCAGCACAAAAACAGCACATGGAAAGAAAGCACAGGATGTGGTTCTGAAGGCAGATAGAAACCTGTTCAGCCACGTGATCCTGGTGGCTGAAAGCAGGAAGGTGAATATGAAGGATCAAGTTTCTGGTGGAAGAGTGGAAACTCCCACGATACAGAGAGATGCTGCATGGTGAGGTGTTGTACATGATCTGTGAGGAAATCTGCTACAAGTTGACAGAAGATGAGTGTGAGCAAGTAGCAGAGCTGCACTCCACGCATGGAGAAGCTGACACCCGTCTTCTCCTGCATGCATTGCATGCAGCAAATGTTGGCTCAAAGGCAGTTATCATCACAGTTGAGGACACTGTCATGGTGCTTTGTCTTGGCTTCCAGAAGGACATCACTTGTCCCATCTACCAGAAGTATCGGACGCAGAACCGCACACGGTTTGTCGATATCAGCAAACTGGCAAGGTCACTTGGAGCCAGCATCTGTGACAGCCTAATTGGCTTACACGCCTTCACAGGCTGCGACACTGTCAGTGCATTTGCCGGTCGAGGGAAGCTGAATGCCCTGAAGATGGTGAGAAATGACACTTCCTGCCAAGAGACTTTGTCGACTGGGGCAGTTATGAAATGTGAGTGATGAGCTGTTCCAGAAAATTGAGCAGTCCACCTGTCGCATATATGATGCTAATAGCAGCAATTGGTGAGGTGAACGAACTGCGCTACCAGCTCTTCTGCACCAAAAGGGGAGAAGTCGAGTCCAGCCAGCTGCCACCATGTAGACACTTCTCTTCATGCATGTTCAATGAGCCAACTATCAGGCAGCAATCTGGAAGTGCTGCCCACAGGCTAACCCTGTGGTACCAAGTCCTACGGAGTATGGATGGACAGACGATGGCAAGCTGGCCATTTACTGAATGCGCTCCCCACCCGCACCAGATGTGGTCTTGGAGCTGCTAGCATGCACATGTGTGCATTCATGCAAAATGCCAAGCGGCACGTGCCTGTCAAATAGACTGACATGCACAGACATGTGCCGGTTACAGACCTGCAGTAACCAAAATCTGCAGGATGATCCAAAACCTGACTTTGAACTCGAGGAGTCAGATGATGAGATAGACTAGCAGTTTGACACAGTGTGGTGATTCTGATGGTATTACTGTGGTAGTAGTAGTATACATTGATGCAGTGTGGTGATTCTGATGGTATTACTGTGGTAGTAGTAGTATACATTGATGCGTGTTCTGATGGTATTACTGTGGTAGTAGTTACTGTGGTGGTGATTCTGATGGTATTACTGTGGTAGTAGTAGTAAACATTGATGCAGTGTGGTGATTCTGATGGTATTACTGTGGTAGTAGTAGTATACATTGATGCAGTGTGGTGATTCTGATGGTATTACTGTGGTAGTAGTAGTATACATTGATGCAGTGTGGTGATTCTGATGGTATTACTGTGGTAGTAGTAGTATACATTGATGCAGTGTGGTGATTCTGATGGTATTACTGTGGTAGTAGTAGTATACATTGATGCACAGTGTGGTGATTCTGGACTTGGTTACCCTTGTTAACACCATCTAAGTACACACAGAGCTTGATAACAATAATGTAACCTTCACATATACCCATCACTAGCGACATATATAGGATTACATGTATCGCTGACTAAGTATATGCGAATGTCAATGTTAATAATATTCAAGAAATTCCTTACCTCACTATGGTATTCCTTATTATCCTGTGTTTACATTGTGAGTTTAAACCAATAAAGACCAGTTTGTGACCTAACTGGCTTTGGTCTAGGTATTTTTTCAGTCAAACGGCAAATGTGTTTTGATTTAAAGCTTTCGTGACTGCAGGGATTCATATTCTTGGTTCTTTTGGTAAAGTCACCACGTAGAAGGGAAACAATAAAATAATAAAAATATTAAACAATACAATTCTCACGACGTTTCGACTGCAACACAAGCAATCATCATCAGGTGTGAAAACCACAGCAAGAAAATTTGCTGTGGTTTTCACAGCAGTCGAAACGTCGTGAAAATTGTATTTTTTTTGTTTCCCTTCTACATGACTTTACCGAAAGAACCAAGAATATGGCAAATGTGTTGTAAACTCTTAGTTGCTTAATATTTGATTTAAGTACTCTGTCTGTGGCGCTGTCTTGACAGTGGGTCCGTTAAAGGTGGATTTCACAAAGACTCCAACTCTGGAGGAGGTGCAGAAGTCGAACCCGAATGTGGAGCTGGGTGGCCGGTTCCGCCCCAAGGATTGTCTGTCCAGCCAGAAGGTGGCCATCATCATCCCCTTCCGGCACCGAGATGAACACCTCAAGCACTGGCTCTACTACCTGCACCCTGTGCTTCAGCGACAACGCGTAGAGTACGGGGTCTACGTCCTTAACCAGGTTATGTGCAACGCAGTTCACCAGGTCAGCCAGAGCATGCATGTCAAATGCAGTCATCAGATGCCACCTTGAGAGTTGTTTTACATCTAATTGCTTTACGCATACAACTTAACGTAATGTCCACTTTAACATCACCTAAGTCATGTCACAGGGATGTAAAATTTTACATGTGTGTTCACACGGCTTCGGTTGTAGAAAGCCTTCGATCAAATCGCACCTCCGATTAGCACGGTTGGCTATGTGCGGTGTAAAATAATTTGAACATGCATACAAATCACCCAGAATGGGGCCTGAACTTGACAAATCTCGGACACTAAGTAGGGTTGAGCATGGTTTGTGCTTGTATGGGCGATCACCATGCATAACACATTTTATTCAATGCTGTGGGATCATCTCATGGGTAGCAGAGGCTCGCGCTATAAGAGTAAGTGCTGTACTACTTTGCTCCCCAGATTGACCAACCAGCGCCCGCCAGCCGTGTTGAAATTTGATCAATTAACTCCAGTGACCCGCACGACTTTGGAGGCCTTCAAGACTTTGGAGGCCTTCGTCTCGGAGTGTTGACAAAGGGTTTGTCCATGTATACATGACCTTTAGAACTTAACAGTAAATATGTGAATCGGCAGCCAGTGAAGGGAATCAGTGGAGCCAAGGGCTCTGAAGGTTTTAAAGTAGCAATCGCGTGATGATTAGTTATTAGTTGGCATATGCCAGGTGAACTTAACTTTAATGTTAGGTCGGTTCATTTGTGTGATGTGAACACGTTTTATATCACGTAGAACAAGTAGCGCTGCCTTAACAGGTCACAATTCCTTGTGAACCTACCGTAAACCATGATGACAATTCAGCTTTTATTGTATTGAATTACAGAAATTTATTCTTGACATTTTGGGTCGACGCAACATTTAACTTCAAGAGCATTTTGTAAAAAAACATAATTGCACATCTAATATTCACAGTCATACGTACAAATGTTTAACAGTTTGCTGGCAACCTTAAGCACATGTCATTTAAAGTTCGTGAAGATCTGTTTGCTTAGCTTGTAGAATGTTTAAAAATATTATTTTAAGTCCCCTGGCAATATTTGCCAAGCTAAATAAAAAAAATAAACGCTACTGCCATTTTACCACAATGTTTCATTGAGTACTTAAGCTGATGACTCATGTAGGCAGCAAATGTCTACATTTTACGTGAACAATAAATCACATTTCAAAATAGGATATTTTTCTTTCATTTTAGACGAGGGGGGGGGGGTTGAGAATTCATGGGTAAAGTATTTGCCGTGTGAAAGATGCTTGAACAAAAAAAACATAAAATGTTTACATATGCCCAGCAAGGTTGCTGACACTACATAGTATTCGTTTCCTCAGCTGACACATTTCCTGCATTCTGCTCTCTTCCGGAGTGATAGCAAAGTGGAAAAATAGTCGAGTGGGGAAGTGGAAAAGTCGGCACACTACGTAATGAATTCGTAATGAATTCGGCGGAACGAGTGATGTCTGGTGAGCCGTTTTTTGAGTTCCCCCGTTCACCAAGCCTGTCTTAGGGTACCACATGTTCCCTCACCCCCCGCCCCACGACAGTGCTGTATGTATTCCCTAAATGCATGTATTACAATTTCCACATGTTTAAACACTACTCACAATGTAATACATTCTAGTGCATTTCTGTTTTTATATTAGCTAATGCGTTCTAAAGTATAAAGTATGTACATTCTTCTGTTAGCTTAAAAAAATGCATTTCATTAGGATCATATTCCTTAGATGACTTGGTGGCAGCTAAATGCGAAGTATGGCGAGCTGGAGTTTTACAGTATTTTGAAAGTCTGGTAGTTGGAATGCTCGCCACAGCCAAATTACAATGATTGAGTCAGCAATTTGATTACTGCAGCAACCCAGCCATATCTGCTATGATTTCGCAAATTTTAAATTTACCATGTACTAAATAACTGTGGCACGAAATAATGATGATTAATTAACTGTCCACGTGGTGCTGTTTACAACTTAACTACCTCGCCTGGTATACAGGAGATCGTGGGTTCAATCCCGATCCTGACACCCGTATATTTGGAGTTTTGCATGTTCTCCCCGTAGTCGTGTGATTTTTCTCCCGGGTCCTCAGGTTTTCCCCTCCAGATATAGGAGCATGCGTTTAGATTATTTAGCAGCTGTAAATTTGCACATGATTAGCCACTTCATTGAGCCATCATTTGTGGCCAGGTCGCTTCTGAAAAATAGCTAAATAGCTCGGTGGGCCTTACCTGATAAAATAAAAATAGTTAAATGGTTGAGTTTATATATCCACCGCATATTTGATCGGTGCGTTGGTTTACTGTTTAGCTCACTGTGCTATGAACCCAAACAGCCTGAGGTCCACTCGTGGTCATTTCTAGCTTCAGTGGCGAGCAATATCTTTCCTGGTCCTGAGCCCTCCTTCCCCCCGTTATCAATCCGCACAGGCCAGAATGGAGAAGTATAGCTTAACTCCATTGATCGTGATGATATGGGGATGAGGGAGACCTTCATCCAGCAGTGGATTGACAAAGGGCTGAGTAAAATTATATATATTAAAGACCCTGGAAACATAATTTAAAAAATCACTTGAGTATAGACCCTTGTGTGACAAAAATAGGCAACTCTTGCATTGTTATAATGCGTATTCAGTCTTTCTTGGGTGAACTAATGCAATGATCATATTCACTCGTTTATTTTATTCATGTACAATTAGCACTTGGCATGTAAGCAAAACAATGTAAGTACAGTATATATATTCCACACATGAGGCTTTTTTTTACTTTGGGCAAAAACTATTCACTTGACTATTATTTATTCAGAAGACATCCACTGAAAGGTACTGCACAGCCTTGTAAATAGTGTTTCTTCTCTCCAGCCCAGAAGAGATTAATTATTCTGTCGTCTGATTCTATTTACTATATGTACTGGTTGGAACTAGTTCTTTTCCATTAATATTGTGTTTTACAAGGGCGTGACATGGTACAGTCTGTATGCGGTATATATGTGCATGCAAATACAGTATATTCATATTTGTTATTTGTTCAGATTTGTGTTTTTAATTTTTGTATTACTTGCTGGTTGTTTTGTCGTTTGTGTAAAGAAACCTTGCCCATGGCCAAATCACCCGGAATATACCCGATCTCATCAGATCTCGAGCTAAGGATAGATTTAGGGTGGGTAGCAATTGCATTGGCAACCAGCATGCATCATGTAATCGGTTGTTGTAGGCTGCTGTGGGGCTGCGATGCGTGCAGCAAAAACTTCACAAATTCCATTGTTGTACTGTACTATGTTTCCATATCTATGCTCCTCTGCATCAGCAATCCACACGATGACCAATGGTGAATTATGGCCAAATAACTGACGACCCACACGACGTCGATTGACATGTAAAAAAAAACATAACCCTTACAAAGTACTGTATTACGACTATACACTTTATATAAAAAGAACAAACAGTATCATTTTATTTGGATTGCTAATGTGTGACCTTTTAAGAAAATATTGTTACGTAACTGACTTGCCTTTAATGTTATGTAACTGAATTGCCTTGGACACTATCTGATATTACTTGAAGCAAAAGAAAATAAATTCCACAATGGACAAGATTCTGAGGGCTGATTAGGATATATGTCACTTGTCTGTCCTTTCTTGCTTTGAGGCTTTCGTGACTGCAGGAATCCATACTCTTTGGTTCTTTCGGTAAAGTCACGTAGATAGAAAATTTTAATAGATCACGACGTTTACATAACAACACAAGTGACCGTCTTCAGGTGAGGGAGAGACGGCTACTGAAACAAGGTCTTACGTAGGCTTGAGATTGGTGCAGCCTCAGGGTAAGAGGGCGGGACTTATAATTTTTCTATCTATGTGACTTTACCGAAAAATGTCCGTGTTTGAATGTTCCCGCCCATTACAATCTGTATTGTGTAACATGTTTTTTTTAAGAACATGGAACATTCTGCTTGCTTTTCAACATTCCAGTTTTATAAAAAAAAAACCTGATCAACTGGCACATTTGATCACGTGACAGCTTAATTTGATGGACTGTATAGGGTCGTGGAATGTACAGTCAAATTTGCATTATATAACCACAAATAAACTTAATTGTGTTATTTTAGTTTTAATATGTACGAACATGTTATGAGCTATTTTTTACATTTGACATTTTTCACTCCAGTGTTAAATCAGTTTTGAGAAACATTAGTGTTTGATATTTTACAAGCCTTCACCGATTATTATCAAGTGTTGTATTTGATGCTGCTTTTTTCTTGAGAAATCTTGTATTTTACTACTTCCCTAACCCTGGTCGTGCGTCACGTTATGGTGTTGCTGTTTCCATAATGTTGATGCATGGTAATACTCCTCTCTTAATTGTATATCCGTTGAACACTGGCATTTAACCATGAACGTATAAGCCAGTTGACCAGATTCTAACTTATCTTTATTACATTGTTACATATAATTAATATTTTAACCTTATGGCAGTACCCTGAGGTACCATAGTACCCCGGCTCTCACATAATGTCCGTGATGCAGTCATTTTTAGTCACATGATGGTCGGCGATGCGGCAATCGACTCATCTCGACGAGCTGTACACGATGCACCACGGTGCGTACGAGCGTTCAGGGTTTCGGCGCAATCGTCCTCGCTGTGTTTCGACATCGCGGAGTAGCACTGATTTCGGATTGATTGGTACCCCAGTCGCGAAGTGAAGTACACCCCTGGAAAAAAATAGTGTCCCAGAAATAACATATTTAATTTTCTCGGCCATTTTGTATTCTTTGCAACTCAGGGGTACCGTCATAAGGATCGTTTGATCTTTTATTCGCTCTCCATTTCTAGATCTCTTCTTCAGTGTGCAATTTGAGGTTTCATAAAAAAAAAGATCATAAAGAATGATAATATAAATTTGGAAACACAGCATGTTTATTGAATGTCATACCCAGCAATGGGAGCATACTAACAGGAAAAGAAAGTTCGTG